TACAACATGCATAGAAGTGACCAAAGTGGTGTGCGGAACTCCCATATACCCTGTACGCAGATCCACCTCATTTTAAGTTTGTCATATTTACTCCATCCTTTTCTCTCACACACATATTATTTATTTTTCTTCTGAACCATTTGAGAGAGCACGTTACCTGCATCATACTTCTCTCCTCCTTAATAGTACTTCAGGATGTATTTCTTTTTTCTTTCTTTCTTTTTTTTTTTGAGATGGAGTCTCGCTCTGTCACCCAGGCTGGAGTGCAATGGTGCGATCTTGGCTCACTGCAACCTCTGCCTCCCGGGTTCGAGCAATTCTGCCTCAGCCTCCCGAGTAGCTGGGATTATAGGCGCCCACCACCACAGAGTTTCACCATGTTGGCCAGGCTGGTCTCGAACTCCTGATCTCAGGTGATCTGCCCGCCTCGGCCTCCCAGAGTGCTGGGATTACAAGTTAAACCACCATGCCCGGCCTAGGATGTATTTCTTAAGCACAAGGATATCCTCTGACACAATCAGGGTGCCGTTAGCAAATACAGAAAATTTAAGTTTCATGCAATACCTTAATCTATTGTTCATATCCCAATTTTGTGTGACCATGTCTCAAAAAAAAAATTGTCAACTCTACCAAGAAAGTCCCCTGTCACATTTTCCCCTCTGCAGTACAGGATCCAGTTCAAAGTCATGCATTGCATTTACCTGTTCAGGTCTAGACTTGATATCACAACTACACAAGGTAAAATATACAGTCATAAGAGACACAGATGGAGTTGAACAAAGACATCCATCTTCATATGCACATCCCCATGAACCAATGTTTCTAATAACACATCATGCTCCTGACTGTGTGGAGGTAGTTAAAAGTTAACTTGCCAGGCCAGGAACAGTGGCTCACACCTGTAATCCCAGCACTTTGGGAGGCTGAGGCTGGAGGATTGCTTGAGCCCAGGAATTTGAGACCAGCCTGGGCAACATGGTGAAACCCCCCCAAAATAAAAAATTAGCTGGGCATGGTGGTGCACACCTGTAGTCCCAGGTACTCAGGAGGCTGAGGTGCTAGGATTACCTGACCCCAGGGGCTGGAGGCTGCAGTGAGCCGTGATTGTGCCACCTGCACTCCAGCCTGGGTGACAGGGTGTGACCATGTCTCAAAAAAAAAGTTAACTTACCAAATATGCCATAGTCTTCAGCACTCTGTTTTGTAGTGCTTTATTTTTTAACCTAATAAAAGCCTCATAAAATGGAAGTGGCCTGGGACAATGAGGGGAACCTGAAGTGCTGTGGGTGCCCAGGGCTGGAGGAGAGGCCCTGTGTTCTCAGCCCTGCTCAGCTCCAGATGCTGTGCAACTGTGGCCCATCACCACTCTTCTCTGAGCTTCAGGTTGCCATGGGTGACCTCTGAGGCCTTCCTGCCCATAATTGTGGAGTCAGAGAAGACAGCCCTGCCTGGCAAGGAGGGAGATTTGGGTCCTTGTTGTCTCAGCGGGGCCAAGGACCTGCTGGGGAACCACAGGCAGGTTGCCTTCTGTCTTGTCTCACTTTCTTCATTGTGAAATGATGAACTCTGAGATTATTATCGTGCTCATGCTTCATGTGTCAGGACTTAGGGGGAGAGTGTATCCCTTTGGGGTCCAAGGTGGCCTGGCTGAGTTGGTCATTCCAACCCCTTCAGTCTTGGATTTCTTCTCCCTGAGCAGCTTGACTCCTCTGGCTCCAAGTTGGCCTGGAGAAGCTTGGCTGACCTGGACCATCCTGGAGGTGATGGGCATACTGGGGGAGTGGACAATGCTAAAAAATGTTCCCCAGAGGAGGTGCCTATATATGCAGACCACACCTGTGCTTCTCCCCGGTCATGTGTGTGGGCTGACCTTGCAGCTCACAAAGGCTCATGGGCATTAACTGTCCATTACCAGGAAGACAGCAAGCTGCAAAATATGCATAATGGAGCACCATGCAGCTACAAAAAGGTATGCAACAGCTCTGTGAGCAACTGGGGTCTCCAAGAAGTATGGTTAAGAAAAAAAAAAAATCCAAGTGCAGAGAGGAGTGTGCAAAATGCTACCACTTGTATGGAAAAACAGTATCTATGTAACTTGCCTATATATGCAGACCATCTCTGCAGGAATCCATAAGATCCTGGTTACCTGAACATAGTAATTGCCTCTGAGGACTGGAGCTGGGTGGCTGAGAGAGAATACTTATTGTCAGTTTATTCTTTTTTGTGTCTCTACAAGGGAAAGAACCAGTATGGGTAGACGTGCAAGAGGGGCTGGCTCCTGGGAAGTTGCTAATTGCATTTCTTGATATCCATGCTGGGTATACAGGTGTGCTCAGCTTGTGAAAACCCATTGATTTCAAGTACACCCTGTGCACTTTCCTGAATGTGTCTTATACTTCCATAAAAAGTGTAAACTTGGCTGGGCGCAGTAACTTATGCCTGTAATCCCAGCACTCTGGGAGGCTGAGACGGATGGATCACCTGAGGTCAGGAGTTCGAGAGCAGCCTGGCCAATATGGTGAAACCCCGTCTTTACTAAAAATACAAAACTTAGCCAGGCGTGGTGGTGCACATCTGTACTCCCAGCTACTTGGGAGGCTGAGGCAGGAGAATCGCTTGAACCCGGGAGGTGGAGGTTGCAGTGAGCCGAGACCATGCCACTGCACTCCAGCCTGGGTGACAGGGTGAGATCCGTCTTAAAAAAAAGTGTAAACTTAGCATGGTTTAAATGATTGTGTTGTGTATATGTGTGCGTTTAACGAAAATGCTGCAGAGCTGGGTGCAGTGGCTCACGCCTATAATCCCAGCACTTTGGGAGGCTGAGGCAGATCGCTTGAGCCCAGGAGCTGGAGACCAGCCTGCGCAACATAGTAAGAACCTGTCTCTACAAAATAAACAAATAAATAAAATTAGCCAGGCCTGGTGGCGTATGCCTGTATTTCCAGCTACTCCACAGGCTGAGGTGGAGGATCACTTGAGGACAGGTTAAGGCTGCAGCGAGCTATGATCGTGCCACTGCACTCCAGCCTGGGTGACAGAGTGAGACCCTGTCTCAAACAAAACAAAACTTGGTGGGATTATAGTCTTCACTGTGGTTGTCTTTGGGATGAGTGATATTTCTAGAGTCTTGTAGCAATTTGCATTTATTTTACAATGAAAAACACAGGCAGAGAAACCTATAAATTTTTTTTTTCAGAAACAGTAATCAGTATAGAAGCTTTCTGGAAGGACACTCAGGAAGCTGCCTCTGGGGAGGGGCCTGAGGGAGGTCTGTACTTTTCACTGCATACCATTTGACACAACTTGGATTACTTACCAATGCAAACAGGGTATAGTCAAAATTATCTCACAAAGCAAAACAAATACTTATCTTTCTGTTCTAGCTGCTCTTACTAGTTAGAGATTGAGCCAGGGAGGCCCAGAGGGGTCAAGCAACATCTCTGGGGTCACCCAGCAAATCTGGTGGCGGAGTGGGCCTCTAGCCAGAGCACCCAAGTGTCTGCTCTGCCCCCACTCCCAGGTTTCCTGCCATTGACAAGGCCACAGTCCTTTTCCTGTGGCTTTGCCAGAGGCTGGCTATACCTGGCCAGGGTAGGCGCAGGGAGAGCAATGTGCTTTCCTAATCAGTTCCCGAAGGGGGAAGCACAGCCGCGCTGGGACACAGGATAACCACGCCAGTGTCCCTGGAACAGCAGGGAAGTGAGGTAGAGGGTGCTTGGAAAGCTCTCCTGGGTGGGGGACCCTGGCCCCCTGGGGCCCTCTTTCCTCTACTTCTCACACCAAAGGGGTTAAACGTGGTGGTTTCATGGCCTGCTCCAGCCTAGGGACTGGCAATTCCACAACTCCCTTGATCTCCCTGGGCCTCGGTTTTCATCTGTGAGGAAGACCAGGTTGGTCGGGCTCATTCCTGTGGTGTTTGGCACAATGCCTGGCACACAGAGGGTATTGGCAATCTGTTTGTCAATTTGCAAAATGGGAGCCACAATTCAGGCTCAGAGGGTCAAATGCAGGGGAGTGGGTAGAGGCAGAACAGAGGGGATAGGAATATGGACTCTGGGGCCAGACTTCAGTCAGTAAACATGAAATGGATCACTTGAGCTCAGGAGTTTGAGACCAGCCTGGGCAACATAGTGAGACCTTGTCTTTAAAAAAAAAATTAAAAATAAAAGTGTTGTTAAATAAATAAACTGTTGAGATAGGCATATGAATGCACCTTACTGAGGAGAGGGTGGCTGCCTGGCTGCCCTGGCCTTTCCCTGGCTCTCTCACCCTCAGGCCTCTCAAGCTTCTCTGATCCTCGCCTCACAGGGACACAGCCCCAGCCTGAGAGAGCGAAGAACTCCTAGCTGCACTGATCAGCTGTACCCATCGCTGTCTCTGCTGGGTCTACAATGGGGGAGACACCAGCCTTCACCTCCCAGGGCTCCTGGGAGTGTAATCGGGGTAATAGGTGCTGGTTTTCCACCTGGGGCATCTCCAGGACAGGGAAGGAGCTGCTCTAGGCTTCAGAGGTGGACGGACTCAGGGTGTCACCCTGCCATGTGCCTCTGGGTGTCATTGGTCTTCTAAGTCATTTCAGATAACACAGCGGTAGGAATATTCCCCTTTAGCATGCACTCATTTGCACCTGTGGAAAACCACATGCCTTGTTGGTGATAGCATCAAAGAGGGATTGAAGGACGGCACGTTCACAAAATGGAATAATAAGCAGCTCAGAAAGAAATGAAATACCCTTTAGGTACTGACTTGGGATGATACCAAGCTAGATTAAGGAAAAAAAGGAGCTGAAAGTGTGTACGATGTGCTGTCATTTGTGTATTTGCCTGATCATTCATAGCGAATGGGACATCACAGGAAACTGGTGCCCTAGGCTGCTTGCAGAGAGGAGAGCTGGTGGCCGGAGGACAGGGGCAGGGAGACTTTTCAACACATATCCTCTGGTACCTTCCGAATTTTGAACCATGTGAATGAAATGAACGCAGTCCTTATTCAAAAATAAATAAAATTAAGATTTCTTTACCAACCATACCAGACACCTAACAGTTGTTAAGAACATCTGATAAATAGCAGACTGAGGAAGGTTTGGTTATGGCTCCCGGAGAGGGGGCTCTGCCTGTCTTCCCCAGCCCCACCCCTCCAGGGCTCAGGGCAGCCCCTGGAACATCTGTGCCTCTCTCTAAGTCCAGGGGAGGGCCCACCTCTGACCTCCGATGTCCACAGGCCCCCTCCTCAGCTCAGAACGACGTCTTTTATTTAAAAATAGCTTTTATTTTAAACTCACCAATTCTCTCTCTCACACACACTCACACTCACGCACAGACACACACATACACCCTCTGTCACCAACAGTCTGTGTTTTTCCAAAAGTTCTGCCTTGTCTCTGACCAGCCAGAGCTGCGCAGGCTGAATGGATCCTCACAGTTCTCCAGGATCGGGTGGAGATGTCCCGAGGGCCCTGCCCAGAGTGTCCTGGACCCAGGCCATGGTCCCCTGGTCCCCACACAAAGAAGGGGTGGGCTCGGCTCCTGGGGTCTTCTTCCCTGTACAGCCAGTGGCTGGCTCCCGGCCTCCTTCTCCAGGGTCCAGGCTCATCTCCGCGGCCCTCGAAGGGGGGCCACCCCCCTCACCTTTAAGCAGCTGCCCCCCAGTTCACGACGGCCACCCTGCAGGGGGGAGAAAGAGTATAAGAAGGTTCGATCAGGCCAGTGTGAACACTAACCTCTGTATCCACCAACAGGGATCCTGATAAATAAATCACAGTTCAGCCACACGATCAAGTTCTCTGCAGCAGAAAGCAGAAGAAACCTTTTCTGGACTGATACGGACTGCTGCCGAATGACAATGTTATGACAATGTTTAAGGACAAAAGCAAGGAGCAGGCTGAATGCGCCTGTGTGCTGTGATTGCTGGAGAGAAGTGCACGTGGGAAATTGCGAGTGGGTTTCTTCAGAAAGGAATTTGATGATGGAGAGAGGATGAGAGGGAGGCTCTCTCATGCTATACTTTTTTTTGAGACAGAGTCTTGCTGTGGCCAGGCTGGAGTGTAATGGCACAATCTCAGCTCACTGCAACCTCCGCCTCCTGGGTTCAAGGGATTCTTCTGCCTCATCCTCCCAAGTAGCTGGGACTACAGGCGACCACCACCACGCTTGGCTAATTTTTGTATTCACGCTATACTTTTTTACCATTTCCATTTCTTTCCCATATGATCTGTTGCTTAAAAAAAAAAAAAGATCCAATACATTTTAAAGCATAGTATTTTACATGGGCAAAACCAGCACACCCCGCAGTGGTCTTCCCCCTGCCTGACTGCATGCGTAGTGACTCACTCTTCCACCTTCAAAAGGGGACTGGATTTCTGGCCTCCTTGACTTCCTTCAGGGCGTCCCCTTTGCCAGGAATGTGCTCTCAGGTCTTGTCTCCCTGGAAAGGTTTCTCCATTCCTAAATTGCCTAGCACTTCCTGTCTTTCTGGGGACATTCCATGGGGATGAATCTCAGAAGGACAAGTCAGGGTCTCTCCTTTGTCCCACCTTCTGGACTGGGATCTCAGGGAATGGTAGGGAAAAGGAGTTCTTCACTCTGTGGTCCCATTTCCAGCCTGGGCTCTCTTGGCCCAGGACCTGACTTGGAGCAGGCACCAATCAATGCCGACTGAATTAAGTGGCAGCCATTGGAAGATGGGCTAATGGTGGCAGTCCCTGAAATCATCAGTCCCTACAGGGGCTGTCTCTACCAGCTCTTCTCATTGATATTTTCAGACTGGACGCATGTGTTTCATCCTCACCATAAGCCAGAGACGTCACAGATGTTAGAGCACCCCCTCTTTTGCGGCCTCCAGCCACTGAGTGACTGGCCCAGAGGCACCCAGCCAGTTGTAAAAGAGCTGGGCTAGAAATCTATGTTGTCCAACAATCTGTCCTGTTTCCAGGACACGATAGTATCTGAAATCCCACTGTAAATGCTCATCGCCCTGAGCCTGGCTAGATGATGATGGAACAGGCAGCTTTCTCAGCCCACTTAGAGAAACAGCTGACCATCTGGGAGCTCTGCCCCCTGCCCCCTCCACCCCCAGGTCCAGGTTGGGGCAGATCCATCCAGATGCGAGCCCAGCCTCCCTCGAGGCTCTTGCAGCCCAGGGACAACATGTTCACTCACAGGCAGGGCTATTTTGAGGGCTGAGGCCACAGTCCCAGCAGAGCCTGGGGCTTGGGCTTCTCAGACAAACTCTGGCAGGAGTGGCTGAGAAGGGCAGATAGGGGAGGGGGTGCAATATTAAGGTTGAATTAGAAAACTGGCCTTCCCCTCTTTCACTCTTTAAGTCCTCAGGGACAGGGAGAGCTGCCCCCTTCCACCCCAAGTCTAGAGGTCATGTGGAGACCTGGGGTCCCAGAAGAATGCTGGGACTGTTCACCTCCCTGAACCTCGGTTTCTTCATCTACGAAATGGGGACAAAATGATTTTACTTGCCATCTCAAGGTGCAGTCGAATGTGAATGCAGCTGTGTAAGCTGCTAAGTGTGCTTAGAAGAGGTCCTGACAGCCAGGTATGGTGGCTCATGCCTGTAATCCCAGCACTTTTGGGAGGCCGAGGCAGGCAGATCACGTGAGGCCAGGAGTTCGAGACCAGCCTGGCCAAACATGGCGAAACCCCGTCTCTACTAAAAATACAAAAAATTAGCCAGGTGTGATGGCCGGCGCCTGTAATCCCAGCTACTTGGGAGGCTGGGGCAGAAGAACTGCTTGAACCCAGGAGGCAGAGGCTGTAGTGAGCTGAGATCATGTCATTGTACTCCAGCCTGGGTGACAGAGCGAGATTCCGTCTCAAAAAAAAAAAAAAAAAAAAGAGGTCCTCACAAGACCCCAGTTTGTTTGTCCCTTAGGAACTTAGCACCAAGGGTCTTCAGGAAGCACCATGGTTAGGAGTTAGGTTTAAGTGAGACAGACCTAGATCCCTACTTTGCCAAGGGCCAACTACTGCACCTCAGGCAAGTGATTTCATCTCACTGAGCCTCAGTTTCCCCCCCCGTAAAGGGGAGTTACTTTATAGGATCACACAAGCTAACATAGGATTACACAGGCTAATCTAGGTAAAGCCTTGGTACAGTGTTGGGAATATAGTAAATGTTCATAAGTATTACTATCAGCATCATCTACTGAGAGTGCCTCCTGGTCCCAGCTACCCTCTGGGTATACCAACAGGGGAGAGAGAGCCTTACAAGATGATCCTGTCCGATCCCCACCCCCAGGTGACAAAGGGAAAACAGGGCAGAGACAAGAACCCCCATTCCACCTCCCACTTGCTAATTCTACCACAGAGGGCCACACTTAACCCGTCCTTCAACAGAAAGATGCTACACGGAACTGTTTCCATGGCAACCCCAACTCCAGACTGGCCAGGATGGGAGGGAGGTGGTGGCTCAGGGTAAAGGAACAGGGTGTTGGGTCTTAAAGCTCTCTGCCCCCCCCCAAAGCTCAGAAGGGAACAAGAGCTCCCCAAGACAGCCAGTTTTCTTCCAGCAGAGTCTTCAAGGGGCCATAGCTGGCCAGGATCGCCCCTCTCGCCTATTCCCAGAGGAGACTGTGGGGTTGAGAGCATTGTTTCTACAGCCAAATTTGGCTGGGTTCTTGGTCCCATAGACAGATCCCAGGGAAGCAGCCAGGCCCAGGGGAGGCCCCTGTGAGCTGTGAGACAGGCCTGGGACCTGCAGAGAAGTCCCCCAGCCTGCCTGCTGTGGGGGTGGACACATGACAGTTATAGGGACTTACCCCTGTAACCTATCCCACGTCTCAACCAGGCAGGCCTGAGTTTGAATCCTGGTTCCATCACTGACTGTGTGTCTCTGCGCCACTGGCAGCTCCTCTAAGCAAGTGGGGATAACCGTAGCGCCTCATTCCTGGCTGTTGTGGGATTTTAATGATAACTCATGAAGAGTGCTTAGCACAGATCAGTGCTCATGAAGGCTGCTGTCACTGCTGTTATTGGCCATTATGCTCCCCCTCTGCACTCCCGCCACTTTTAGCCTCTTCCCTTTTCCTTCTCTAGGCCTCAGCTCTTGCTGTATGCCCCAATCCTAGAACACCCTTTCCATCGGCCTGTCCCTGTTCTAAAGCATCCTTCAGAAATGCGACACAGAAACCCTGTCAGCACTCACCCTGGGTTGGGGGCTTCCTCTGGGCTCTGAGAATCCCTTTGTGCTTCCCCTACCCCATCATCAGGCCACAGCATCCTCATCTTCATCTCCCTGCCCTGACCCTGGGGCTGCACTGTCAGGTCCTGACTGGTGGATGGGTAGGGACCTATAACCTGCTTCTCTGGGGTTCTCAGAGCCAACAGCAGGCAGCTGTCGGGTAGCTAAGGGTTGCTAACTGGAATGAATGGGTGAAAGGCAGTCAGGGAGTATCCCTGAGGGCCCCTTCAGGTCTTCCCATCTCAGGAAGCCTTAAAGGCCCACTCCTGGCTTCTCAGCCCAGCCTGGGGCACTGACAGGGGCCCACAGCTGGGAGCAGTAGGGACCATGGAGAGGGTACAAGCCTGAGGCTAAGAAGACGGATTCAGGGCAACTGAGGCAGCCAAGTGTTGAGAAAGCAGGCTGGATGTCTGATGGGCCAGACAGAGGGTGGTCTCAGGCCAAGATGCAGAGGCCTCCCCAGAACAGGGTGGAGCAAGGGACCAAGGGGAGCTGTGAGAACCAAACAGCAGGGACTCAGGGGCCTAACTCCAATTCCCCATGCCCTTCCACTTGGCCACCAAAAGTCAGTACTCTCTCATGCTCAGTTTCCCCGGATGCAAATGGTAGCTGCTGGAATACAAGTTGTTAGAAAGGCTTCTTTACTGTAGGAAAAACCCAGGCCAGAAAGGCACAGGGTCTGGGGATGAAGCAGGTTCCTTGGGGCCTGGGCAAGGTTTCAGCCAAGAGGCCACCTCTGCTGCCACACAGCCCCCGTCCACCCCTACTAGCCTGGTCCACTTCCTTGCCCAGGACACAGCTCCCTCCAGCTGAGCCAAGAGTGCCCTCTCCCAACACCACGTCCTTTTGGGGGCTGGGGGCTCTCAGGGGGCCCCTTCTTCACTCCTACTGCTCATCCGCTGGGAACCTCAGGCTCTCGGTTGGGGGTTTGTGGCCTCCTTTCTTCTCAGTCTCCTGCTCTTGGGTTAGATCTCAGGACAGGGGACAATTACTTCAAGGTGGGGGCAACACACACCGGGCAAACCTAGGGCGAGCACCCCGGCTTCCCAGCTGAGTAAATGTGGGCAGGTGATTCCATCTCTGATGCTCAGATCCTCACGAGGATAAAATGGGCAGAAAAACTACCTGCCTGAAGGGATTCTTGTGAAGGCAAAAAAGTGGATGTGGAGCGCATCAGCACAGAGGAAGACTCAATAAAAGATGGACTTTGTTATTCCGTCCTCATGCCGTCTTCCCAGCAGGAAGGAAGTACCAGCACACCTTTCGTTGGAGGGGATATCCCACACTGAGCAGTTAAATCAGACCCGAACTCTGGGTTTTCCTGCATCCTTTCTGTTTGGGGGACAGGACATTAAGTCAGTGGTTCTGTTCCACACCAGACCCTGGGCTTGGGGAGCCGCACCCAGCACAATTCCACGTCGCTTCCCCCTGGCCTCGTTGGGGCCCCTTCCCGGAGAGGCAACGTCCCCCGCCTACCCCGACCCAGTGGCCGCAGTGAGGGACGCAGCACACTCACCCCCTTGCGCTGGTTGCTGAGGCAGAATGTGCAGATGGAGCGCGGCTGGCGGCCGCCGTCGGCGGCGGTGGGGACGGCGCTCTTGGCACTGCCGGCGGCGCGGAAGCACGGCTGCCCGTCGTCGGCCGAGTCGCCCAGCAGCAGCACGTTGGCCAGGTGCGCGATGTAGCTGGATGCCAGGCGCAGCGTCTCGATCTTGGACAGCTTGCGGTCCACCGGCTCGGTGGGGATGAGCGTGCGCAGCGCCGTAAAGGCCGTGTTCACGCTCTGAGTGCGGTCCCGCTCCCGCGCGTTGGCCGCCTGCCGCTGTCGCACCACCACCACGGGGCCCGCGCCGCCGCCCGCCCGCCGCCCGCCCCCGGGGCCCGGGCCGCGCCGCGCCGCCTCCAGGCCCTCGCAGCAGCCGAACGACTGGTCCGACGCGTCGCTCTCGCTGCGGTTCTCCTCGTCCTCGCTTAGCAGCCGCACGTCCGGGTACAGCACGTGCGCGCCGACTGGCCGCAGCAGCGCGAACGCCATGGGCGCCGGCCGCGTCCCTCCGAGCTCCGCGTCCCAGCGTTGGCCGCGCCCCGCCGTGCGCTCCCGCGCGCTCCCACGGCCCCGCCGGCCCCCGCCTTATAGGCGAGGGAGGGGCCAAATGGCAAGGCCGCCCCGGCCGGGGGCGGAGGGCTCCGCCCGGCCAATGGGGAGGCACCCGCCGCGCCCTGGCCAATGACTACGCGCCCACCGCCTCCGTTCCCCAGGTTGAAAGCGGCCCGGGAGCTGGTGGCCCACCCCGAAGGCTCCCATTCCCGGCTGGCTAGCCCGGCAGATGCTGGAGGTCTGGGCGAGTCGGCCGGGGTGGGCCCAGATTCGAACTTTTTGTCCCCAGCCTGGACCACCTGGGGGACGCGGGCAGGTCCCTTTCTCCTCTCTTGGACTCAGTTTCCTCATTCGGAACGTTCAGATTGCGGAGAAACAGCTAGTGTCTTCCTGCCCTCAAATTCTAATCCTGTAGTTCTGCAACTTTCATGTGCGTAAGAACTGGGGAGGGGGCTTTTGCTATTACAGAGTCCCAGATTGCTCCCATTCTGATTAAGCAGTTCTGGAACGTGCCCAGGAACATGCATTTTGTAACAAGCCATTGGTGATAGTGGTGGTGTCAGTGGAGAACACTTGGAGAAAAGCTATAATCTCTCCAAATGAGGATTCGATGGTGTCTTGTCCCTGAAGACAAACTTAAAAAAAAAAAAAAAAAAAGCAAAACAAAACCACAACACACAAACACCAGTAGTTCGTTCATTTATTCAACAAATATTCGTTGGATCCCTACTATGTGTCAGGCATGGTTTTAGGTCTGAGGATACAGCCATTAACAAAACAAATTTTTCACCCTCACGGAACTGATGTTTCGGTTGAGGCACTACCGTGTGCCAGACGCGGTGCTATATACTCTATTGAGCCCAGCTGAGGCTGCAGGATGGCAGCCCTGAGTTACAGGTAAGAGAGCTCTGGCCTTCAGTCATGCAGGTGGGAGTGGGGGCGCTAGCTCCAGCCTGTCCGGTTTCACTACTTCTTGGAATCCTACCACCACCATCCCATCGCGCACACACACGGGCTATCTTTCCTCAATGCCTGCCTTCCTTCTAGAAACCTTAGATTGTTCAGCCTGATGTGTCCTCCTCAGAGAACTGCTGAGCCAACGGTGGTTGCTGGGGTCTCCATCTCACTCGTGCCGGCTGCTCAGCTCTCTCCAGGCACTAGCTAAACCAGTATCCCACTTGGCCTTGAAAATAAGCCCGAATGGCAGCCCGTATAGCAGAGAGAGCGCAGGGAGTGAAGTTGAAAGGCTCCTAGGTGCGTTTTGGCTCCTCTGGGCTTCTGTTTCCTGACGATGCCTGCAGCTCTGCCATGCTGTGCTTTCCCGGCTTCCCTGATCCAGGTCAGAACTGGGGGAAGAAGAGGGAACGAGGGGTTTCCCATGGCTGCCGGGGGAGGAGCCCCTTAGGATCCAGGGTCTGTGGGAGAGTCTGTTCCCACACCTGGATCCCCCCACTGCCACCATTTGACCGTGACCCCAGCCAGGCTGGGCTTTGGGGAGGAGGAAGGCAGCCAGCATGGGCCCCCTCCCCGCAGGGCTGGTCCCACACACAGCCCCAGGCCAGGCTGCTGCTTCCTGAGCCGATGAATTATTACCGGGAGATTTCCTTCCCTGTCTGCGCCTCCTCACAGGGGCTCCCAGCTCACTTCACTTTCGCTTTCTCCCCCTTCTCCCCCTCCTCTCTGCTCCTGACCCTCAGGCAGCTTGAAATTCCTCTGTCCAGCCCCCTCCCAATTCCACCTCCAACTGGAGATGCCAAACAAGGCGTGAACTGGGCCGGAAGGCGAAGAGGGGCTTGCCTTGTAGGCTCATTCATTTATTCGCTCCTTAGGCAGATTTCGACACTTGGGACCCTGGGAGTAAAAGAAAACCATGAATGAGACTGAGACAGGCCTTCTGCAGCCGAGAGGGGAAGGCGAGCTGTAAACAAAGGACTTCAAGACAATGCGGTAGGAGCAAGCCAGGGTCTGGTATCAGAGAGACCCAGTTCCGGTTCCAAGGTCAGCTGCTTCCCAGAGTCTCAGTTGCCTGCTCTGAAAATGAGATAATAATAGTACTCATACCCAGGGCTGGTGATGGTTCCATGAGTTTGTGCCAGTAGAGCTGGGGCCTGGCACACAGGAGTGCTCAATACCTGCGAGGAGTTTGTGCTACTGTTTTTAGGGGCTGGCCCCAGCCAACTGCCTGGGAAAGGGCTGAGCAGCATGGACTTTTCTAGTTCTTGTCCCTGGGAGTGCAGAGGGGACTCCTGCCACATTCTCAGCTCACCTACACAGGGGACCTCAGCTTCCCCCATTCTCTGTCCCTCACTCTGCTCCAACCATACTGGCCTCCCCACTAAACCTGGAGCCCACTTCTTCCTGGCTCCCTGGCCCCTGATAGTCTCATAGTTTGTTCCCTCATTTCCTTCAAATCTTCACTCTATTCTTATCTCAGGGAGGCCTTCCCTGACCACCAGCACTAACAGTAATGGCTCCTCCCACCTGCCAGCATCCCCAGCTCTCCCTTTCCCTTTACCCTGCTTTATTTCTTTTTATAGCATTTACCACTGACTTTCATTCATTCACTTATTCATTCTACAAATATTAACTGAGCACCTGCTATGTGCTAGGCACAGTTCTGGGTACTGTGGATACAGCAGTAGACATGTTACATATTTATTTGTCTACCACCTATCTCCCTCCACTAAAGTATAAGCTCCATGGGGCAGGGACTTTGTGTGTTTGGCTTATCTCACTTCCTTCCCAACACAACCTTCTGAGGTAGTATTGTCATTATTCCCATTTTACAGATGAAGAAACAGAGGTTCAAAGAGGGGAAAGTGACTTGCCTGAGGTCACACGGTGGGCCAATGTGGGAGCTCAGATTGTTCTGACTCCAAAGTGGTTGCTCCTTCCCTAACCACATGGCTTCTGAGGGAGCCTAGAGGCCTGTGAGGGCTGAGTAGGAGTCTGCCAGATAAGAGGAGATAGGTATCACAGGCTGAGAGGGTAGAGGCTGGCCCCTGCCTCTCTGACCATGGGCACCCTTCACTCCCACAAAAAGCATTTGTTTCTCAGAGGCACCCGCTGTGCTCATCTCTGAGCCTGTGCTCCAGCTGTCCTTCCTGCCTGGAATGCTGTCCCTTTGGGTCTGAGCAGACATGCCTAGTCCTCTGCCAGTGTTCAGAGTAGCAGATGGTGAAGGCCTCTTTGCCACTTTTTCCCAACCTTGTTGCAAAGTCTTGTTGTGTTCATCACACCATATTTTGACTTTTCTCTCTTCATCCCTGATTCTCATTTCCATTTCCCTCCCCTCACAGGACACCCACTCGAATATCTCTGATGCATGTCTTTGGATATATATGTATCTTTATAAAATGTGCATGGTGTTGATTTGTGTGTGGGGGTTGTTAATGTACATAAATAGTAGTTTCAATAGATCTGTGTCATAGGCTATTTTGTTTCCTCGACACTGCTCTGTGTGCTGAGTCCAGCTCAAGTCCCTTGCTTCCCACTGCTGCTCAGCATGCACGGTGTGCGTGTGCCACCATGCCTCCTTTTCCCACTGCTTTCGTGATGGATGCTGGCTAGCTCCAGTTCCCACCTCCCCAAGCAAAGCTGTGAGGAACTTGCAGTGTGTGACTCTCATAGACTCCTGTGTGTATTTCTCTGGGATATCCCTCGGGGGCAGGATCCCTGGGTGGAGAGAAAACACACAGTTACTGCACTCTGTGACGGCTGCCTCAGTCTACATGACCAGCAGCAGGGCACGAGGGACCACTTTCTCCACCTGGACCCTGGCACTTGGAATTATCTGACTTCCTAATGATGGAGATACGGGTTGTTTTCCATCTCATTGTGCTTGCCTCCCTCACGGCGTGGGCAATAATGAATACTTGTTGCACTTTGGGAGGCCGAGGCAGGTGGATCATTGAAGTCAGGAGTTTGAGACCATCCTGGCCAACATGGAGAAACCCCGTCTCTAGTGAAAATACAAAAATTAGCCAGGCGTGCTGGCGCACCTGTAATCCCAGCTACTCAGGAGGCTGAGTCAGGAGACTCGCTTGAACCTGGGAGGTGGAGGTTGCAGTGAGCTGAGAATGTGCCACTGCACTCCAGCCTGGGCAACAGAGCAAGACTCCACCTCAAAAAAAAAAAAATATATATATATATAATGAATACTTGTTGCACGAATGAATGAAAAGGCTAATACACAGCCTCCCAGGTTTACCTTGTACCAAACTTCAGTCTAGAAGGTGGCAGTATATGTGTGTATGTTTGTGTGTGGAGAGGGGAATATAAGACAAAGTCCTATGCCTCAACCTAGAGAAAAAGACTAATAAGAGTTAGCATCTATTGAGGGCTTACTTTGTGTCAAGAATTCATAGGTGTATATTCACAACCTTAACTTTAGTTAGACAAGGTAAAATGCATTTCTCTCTCACATTCAAGGCCTTTGGAGGTAGGGCTGCTCTGGCATTCCGTGGTGTGGTCACCGGCCTCCAAGATTGCCAGCAATGATCCTTGCCTCCTGGCATTCATCTGTGTGTGTAGATCCCGCCCCCATTGAATCAGATTTGACTCATGTGACCAAAAGAATATGACAGAAGTGACAGTATGTGACTTCTGAATCTAGCTCATAAAGGCATTGAGCTCCTCCCTTTTTCTTTTGAGTCATTGACTCTGGGGACAGCAGCCACCATGCCATGAGGACACTCAAGCCATCTGCGGAGAGGGACTAAGGTCCCTAGCCTACAGCCGTCACCAATTTACCAGCCAAGTGAGTGAGCCTCCTTGGATGTAGATCCTGAATTCCTGACCTGTAGGACCTATGAAAAAGAAGAAAGATAATACAGAAAGACAAAGTAAAAAGATAATAAATAATTATTGGCTGGACGCAATGGCTCACACCTGTAATCCCAGCACTTCATGAGGCTGAGACCAAAGGAAGAAAAAAGATAATAAATAATTATTGGCTGAGCGCAGTGGCTCACACCTATAATCCCAGGACTTTGTGAGGCTGAG